TGGTGGTGGTGTAGGAGGAGGAGGAGGAGGAATGTATTCTTTCAGGAGGAATGAATGCAGCAGCAGCGATCCGAACAATCTGCGCGAGGCCCGAGAGACGCCGGCATCCCAGGGATCCTCCCATGGTGTCTCATATCGCCTGGTCCCGAGGCTGAGGAGCCATGGCGTCTCTTCATCGCAGCACGACAACTCGTCGCCGGTGCGGCAACCGATGCGCATCGGCCTCGTTCTTCCTCAGAAGAAGAAACGGATCCTGGAACACCTTCAGCAGAGCTTTGCGGCAAGGGGGATCCGAGTGAAGTGAGTGAGAGGCATGGAGGAGATCAGTTGACGATGATGCTGACATGGCATGCGGAAGCTTCGAGGACCTCGAGATGGATGGAGCGGCGCCAGGGAGATGGGACGGAGCCGTACTCCTCAGCCATTCGCAGTGAGCCAGCAGTGAAGACTGGGAAAGGGGGGACGGGGGCTGACGGCAGTGATGCTCATGCTAGGCATCTGTTTGCTTGCGAGGAAGAATCCGTGGAGAAGCAGAGGCTGGTGGATCAGATGCAGAGGTGAAGGGAGGATGAGTGCGCGGAGCAATGACGCGCCTCCTCTGCCATGCTCTGAGAGTCTTGGTCGTCCAGGTGGGAGGAGCGCAACAAAGGCGTCCCCGTCCTCGATCCGATGAGGCTGCAGAGATTCATGAGCTCCAGGCCCAGGGTTGTTGACCGATCCTCTTGTTTGATTGTTGAGAGATCTTTTGCCTGTTTGGTGTGGTAGTTAGAGATGTTCACGCCTGATTGCTGTGAATAATACTTGCACTCTGAATCTTGAACGACTCCATGCCCTCACTGTTTGTCCTGCAGGTTGTTTCAAGGATGCAGGAGACGATCAGAGCTCAGGGGATGGACTTCCTGCGTTGCTGTCCTAAACTAGATCCTTGTCATGCTGTTCAAGGAAGTCTGGAGGACACGGGAGAGGGAGAGGGACAGAGGGAGAGGCAGGACAAGGGAAGAAGGGAAGGACAGGATGAGGTGGAACTGAAAGCGAAGGAGGAAGAAGTTGGAGACTTCCACTGGTCAATCAGGTAATACGTTTTCTTTCCATTCTAGTCGATCGTAGCATCAATTTCTTTTGGCTAGAATGCCAAAGAGTTTCGTGCTGGAGAATGGAGCTGACGTCGAGTTTGCTTTCAAGAACCATTCGATGAATCTTCCGGTTTTCTGGTCTCTTACTCTCTGAGCTCTCAATGAACAATTTTCAGGTTGTGATCAAACCTGTGTACGATGATGGGCGGTGGGGAACTTTCGAGTTTGCTCACAGAATGTGAGTTCTTTCTTTCCTCTGTAGAGCTTCCTCCCACGACTTGTTCATTGCCTGGGAACTTGAGGAGATCAGGAAAAGATTGCACAAAATTGTGCCATGTCTAGTGCAGGTGACCTGACGCCAGACATCTGTTTTCTCCTTACATCGATGCCAGGAGTTTGTGCCCCACAACAAGATGATCTATAAGGTGAGAGAGAGAGATCTAATGTTTTTGAAGGTAGAGATGATGGTTATCCGATGGACAGATCTATTGCGTTGGATCGCAGCTATGTGTCATTCACAGGTAGAGATCTGATGAACACCATGTGGTGGTGGTGGTGGTGGTGGTGGTGGTGGTGGTGGTGGTGGTGATGATGATGATGATGATGATGGTGGTGGTGGTGATGACGATGATGATGGTGATGATGATGGTCTAGTGATGGTGATGATGATGGTAATGGTGGTGGTGGTGATGGTTCTAGTGATGGTGGTGGTGGCTGAGGAGGAGATGAGAATGAGAACGATGACTTTGGTTTTGGATTTGATTTTGATTTTGATTTTGATGATTGTGAGGACTTTTGTCAAGAGTTGATCTTGTTGTCTATGATGACCTCGATCATCTTCAAACCTCCACGCTGCCTCACATCTCGCAGGCCGTCCATCCCCAACGACTTTGGCAGCAGGGAGAAATTCCTCCCCTTTTCTCGTGTCTCGTCCGACGCAATCGCCAGGCATGCCGCCTTCCCCCTGCTCCCCAGATGCTGAAGAGCTTCCAGGAAACTGCAGCAAGAGAACTCTGAGGACTACAGGAAGACCATCTCCGACGCGACCAAGTTGCCGGGTCAAGTCGCCTCCTCCTGTACACGCCTCTCCTGACGCGTCCCCTCAGCCTCTGCCCTCACGGCGATTCGGGATCTGATATGCCAGGCGATCGCCATGGAGTTCAACCACGACCCGCCTGGCCCCCCTCGGCTGTTCGGCGTCGACGTCGTTCGCAGACGAGGTTTCACGCTGGCACAAGTCTACAAGCATGATGATTTTTCATCGCTCTCAGACACGAATGAGTTCTACATCGTTGACCTCAACTACTTTCCGGGCTTTCACGGCATGAACAACTTCCCTGAGGTGATCATGACTGGCTGAGTTGGTGTTACTTGCTAACAGTGACATGTCAACGACGCAGGCACTGCGGGACGTCATTATGGAGTGCGTGAGAGGCGGCAGATCGAGCGAGAGGTCAGGGGAAGAACAAGCTTCTGCTCCCTCGCACGACTACCACCTCCTCTGTAGAGGGGTCTCGATAACAGCGGAGAGCGCAGGTCAGGTTCACCATGGGGGCAAGGAGCGAGTGCGAGCTGAAGTTGGACGAGCAGGTCTGATGACAGATTGCTGGGAGGACACAGACAAGTTCGATCCGAACGCAAAGAGCTCCGAGCCCCTGCACGGTTAGAGCCCTAGAGGAGGGGACGGGACGGGACAGGCGCACCCATGCTGCTTCATGTTATTCAAAATTGAAATCGCAAGAGAGGTCACGAGCTTGCAAAGACGATCTGTTCCCCTGGGATGCAACCCCCTACCTCTCATTCATCAGCTGTAGAGACGTGCATGTCCGCTGTCCAGGTTGTGAGGTTGTCGCGCAGGAGCTGCATGATGGTCGAGCTCTCCTTGTAGTGAGCCTCGTCCAGCGAGTCCACCTGCTCGATCGCATCATCGAAGGCCTTCTTGGCGAGCTTGCACGCCTCCTCGGTCTGCTTCAGAACCTCGAACTGCAGCACAGTGTAGTTGAGGGCAAGTCCAAGGCGGGTGGGGTTGGTAGGAGACAGCTTCTCTGCGATCTCGCTTGCGGTCTGGTAGGAAGCTCTTGAGCTCTCAGCGTACTTGGAGCGATCAGGCTCTGGGAGGCACTCAGCAAGGTAGCGAAAGTAGTCTCCTTTCATCTTGTTGTAGTAGACCAAGTTCTCATCATCGGCCGCGTTGGGGATAAGCTTCATATCGAGGAGCCTGATGATCTCCTCGCAGAGGAACTTCAGCTCTTCGTCCACCTTCACCCTGTACTCCCTGATCTTCTCCAAGCTGTCCGGGTCCTTCTTGTTTGCATCCTTCTCCTCCATCGCTGAAATGATACGGGACGAGGTACGGCGGTTGCCGACACAATGCTTGTATGCGATGGAGAGCATCTCTCTCTCCTCAAGGGTGAGCTGAGGGCCGAGCTCAACAATCTGCATCATTCCTTCCTTCATCTCGTCGTATCGCTCCGACTGCTCCGCGAGCTTCGCCATGAACACTAGTTGCTGCCGATCCTCCGCCATCGCGCCTGTACTATAGTCAAGAATGAACCCTGCGGGTCTTTAAAAACAGTATTAGAGGTTCCTGGCAGCAACTTTTGTACTACAGAACTAAAATTGGTATGTTGTAATACAAAAGCTGAGTCTTGGTGGTATATGATATAAAATTTTAAACATATTGGTACAAGAGAAGCTTTGGTATCTATACTCATCAGCAACTTAATACATTTTTATTTCTTCGAGAAATTTATATACAGATTTAGTATTTCTACTTATGGAAGAAAGTTAAAATACTTTTGTTTTCAACGTAGGGGGCCGGTGTGGCCGTATCACCCTTGTAGTCAATTTTGATCTGCACTACTATAGTCAAAATGTAGTCGAAAGGAAGCATTGTAGTCAAAGCTTTCTGGTATCATAGTCAATTAATATAAGGTCCTGTAGTCAATCATTGCGCTCTAGTCAATGTCAACGCCTCTACCACCCTCTGAACCCCCCCACTACACTTATAGTCAATATTTCCTTACGCCTTCCGGCCTTGTAGTCAATATTGTCAGCGGAGCTACGTACATCTTTAGTCAATACTGAGTCTGCCTCACTGAAATCAGTCTCCTGGCCATCTGTGGCCATGCTCGCCCCCACTCCAACAACTCTCTCCTTCCCTCCGCCCGCTCCCCCTCTTGCTCCCACCCACCCCACCCTCCCCTTCCCCAGCTCCTCTCTCCCTCTTTCTGTGCGTTCCTCCTGCTTCATCATCCCCCTCCCTCTGCTCCCTGCTCCTTGGACTCCCTGCTGCCTCTCCTGTAATCTCTCTATTTTCCGCCCCCATTCCTTGCGATCCCTCTATCCTCTACATCAATGACCACTTGCTCCCTCAGGCTCCTACTCTTGTCCTCCTCAAATACGCCAGGAGTTAGTTTGCTGCGCCACCTGCTGGTCCTGTGCTGCTGCGTCTCATCGCTGGTATCCCATGAAAGCGACAAGTGTTTCGTCACCCCACAGCGCAGGATCATGTCAGTAGATCCGTGCCGACAATGGAAGCTGAAGAGTCTGACGAGCTTGACGATGGCAGAGACAGCGGAGAAGACTTTAGCGTCAGGAGGATACTTGTGGGACCTGGAAACATGGAGCAGCCTCAGCGGGTTGGCGGCTGGGAGGTACGAGACGAGATGCTCTGCGACGAGGAGGAGGGGCCCAAGACAGACGATAGCATGCCAGCTGCGTCAGGTCGACCAACTTCCTCTTAGATCCCTGTGGTTCCTTTGGTTGCTTTCATCCTTTGACCCCTTGCATTCCTTTCGCTCTGTTCATCGTTTCATTCCTTTGTTGATTTATTCCTTTATTAATTCACTCCTTCTTTTCATGCCTTTGATCCCTTGGGTCTGCTCTGAGTCGTCCTTTACCACCCTCTCTAGATTTTGATGAGAACTCTGACTCGTCGATGTTGAGACAGACATTGACTGGACAACACCTGATGTACACTCGTGCGACTTGTTCCCGGATCCTATGGTGATCCCTTCTGACTTGCAGGAGGCCATTCAAGACAGATTGAAGCAACTTGTGGCATTCTTTGAAGAGTTCGAATACCTGGTGGGTAGAATTGTGTATTGCTGCAGAGGAAAGGAGGGGGAGGGGGAGCGAGAGCAAGCGCAAGAGGGAGGGGAGGGAGGGAGGGGAAGATTCGATGACGCTGGTTGAAGGTAAAGGGACATGTCACGGACTTCTACGTCAAAGACATGTGGAGTTCGATCCCTTCGGACTGGCGCGAGACTTTCGAGGTGAGCTTGCTTTCTAGCATGACAAGGGAAGGCCTGACCTGCTCCTGCACCTTCTGCTCGCTCCTCGGCTGCAGAAGCTCTCTGAGAGCGATTGCATCGAGATGATCGAAAGGATGAGCAACCCAAGGGAGGTGGTTCAGCTGCTGCAAGTCAAAGGTGCCCAGCGCAAGCTCCTGCTGCTCCTCCCACGGGCTGACGTGCGTGCCAGGGCTCAAATCCTGCTCCTCGTTGTTGAGGTTCTTGGGCCAGATCTCGCTGCTGGCCCTTGACAGGAAGACCAAGATTCGTCCATCCTGCGGGGACAGGATGAGGTGAGGGCGGGAGGGTGGTGGAGGGAGGAGGTTTGAGTGGAGCCAGGTGCGGGGAGGGCCTTGCAAGGGGCATGTCACCCAAGAAGATGCACGAGGTCTACACAGAGGGGCTGCATACTGGATGCTGTCGGCTGATGCTGTTGAGGAAGGTGGAGATGTTCCTCCAGTTCGTGAATCATACACTCTCCTCCTCCTCCTCCACCACCACCACCACCACCAACAGCAACAGCAACAGCAGCAGAAGCAACAACAACAGCAGCAACAGCAGCAACAACAGCAACAGCAACAGCAACAGCAACAGCAACAGCAACAGCAACAGACCTGCTCGTTCGCTCCTGGTGGACATCGGGTCGGGTCAGGGGTACCTGTGCCGGGCGCTCTCGTTCAAGTGAGGAAGTTCCTCTGCCATGATCCTCTCCTCAGCTCCCTCCTCTCATGTCGTGCCTCCCCCCTCCTCCTGGTTCTCCTCCTCCTCCTCCTCCTCCTATTTCTCTTACTTCTCCCTCCCTGGTTGCTGTCCTCTCCTCCCCTCGTTCCTCTTGCTTTCCTCCTTGCTTATGCCTTACCTTAGAGGGTCGATCGATGTGATCGGGATCGAACAAGATCCCAACAACATACAGGAAGCGAAGAGGTGAAGTGGAAGGAGATCAGTGCTAGGCAACATCGCTGATGTTGCAACAGGCTGGATGCCCAGGTAAGGAAGGAGTTGGAGTTCAACTTGCGGCGACAGGACAAGGGTGAGGACGCAGCGTCAGCCCAACTTGCATCTGTGAGAAGAGATGTCGTGTTTGTAGAGGAGCTGCAGAAGGAGTTGTGATGTTGAAACCGCGTGTATGAAAGTTGCAAAGATACGTTGAAATGGTGATACATGTGTATCATAATCGGATAGGAATGTCGATCAAGTGTGTGTTGCAAATACGTGTATGAATGCAAACGCGTGTATGAATGCAACTTTTGTGTGTGTGGCAAATATGTGTACGACTGCAACATGTATGAAAGCACAAGATGGAAATTTTGTTTGATGGATGCCGGAGATGAGATGACTTAGAACGATGTTACATGAAAGTAACGCAAAACGTTGGAGCAGGCAAACATAAAGTACCTGCAGCACCAGATAAAATGGAGGGAGGGAGGAGTCGTTTCAGCCCTCGCTGGAAACTTGCGGCACCGTGCTAGCAAGGAGGAGGACGTGGAGGAGCTGAACGAGACGAGCAGCATGCCAGCGGGCAAGCACAGGGCAATAGAGGAGCAGGAGCAGGAGCAGGAGCAGGAGGATGGCGGGGGGATCAGGAGCAGCATCGACAACTTTGGTCTGATCTGCCTGCATGCTTGTGGCGACCTGGTGCCGAACATGCTCGAGTACTTCGTTAAGACGAAAGGATGCTGTCATCTCTTCGCCGTCAGCTGCTGGTACCTCCTCTCCTTCCCTTCCTCGCCGATGCTGCCACAACCCTGCTTCTCGCTCCTCGCTCCTCGCTCCTCGCTCCTTCTCCTGCTAAATTTTCATACCAAAATCGTCAGTTCCTTATCTCGTCCTATCCCTGAGATCTGTTCTGCAGCTACATGAAGGTTCGCTGCAACGGCGCAAGGAGGAAAGAGGACGAGGACGAGGACGCCGGGCAGGAGGGAGAAAGTTTCATCAAGTACCCCATGAGCTCCTTCCTCTCTAGCCTCGGTCTGCCGCTGGGGCTTCCGCAGGATGAGGATGGATTCCAATTCAGAGAACAGGTAGGAGCAGGAGCAGGAGCAGGAGCAGGAGCAGGAGCAGGAGCAGGAGCAGGAGCAGGAGCAGGAGCAGGAGCAGGAGCAGGGCAGGGCGGTAGTCATGGGGAAAGAAAGGGGGCGGAGGGGGGATGGGACGGAGGAGGGACGGAGGAGGGAAGGAGGAGGATAACTGGGGTAGGAGAGGGG